CCTCTGGGATTGACTCCACTGGAACACAGTGGTGCTTTTTGACAATGGGGACACGTAGCTACTATGTGTTTCGCGTCAGTGGTTGAAATCCCACATCTCTTTGCCAGTGCTTTAGCTCCAATGTGGAGGGACTCGTGTAGCTGACGGGCATCTCTTAGTGTCCACAACCCTTTTGCAGCGGTGTCTGCTTTGTCATTACCGGTTTGAAAAAACCCTTTGATTGGGTCGTGGCTGTTGACGTGGATGACTGATATGGTGCCCTTTCGGGAAAAAAGTGCTTTTTCCAGCATTAGGGCTGCTGTGGATGTTGACACGCCGGGCCCCGACATGGCTAAGCAAAGCTTGGCCACGAACATCGAATCGGTCACTATGTTGAGGTGTACCATTGGGAACAGTCTGCACGCTAGTACTATGGCCGTCGCTTCTAGCTGCTGGACTGAAAGCACACAGGCGGTCATTTTAATGCAGTGCCATTCTCCTTCCGATTGCCATACCGCCGCCGCGGTTGAGGTCGCTGAGGATGCGTCTGTGAAGACCGTTGGTCCCTGTTGGGGCTGGTCCATGATCTTCCATGGAAGGTCGATGTCGACAATTGCTAGCATTTGAGTCCAGGGGGGTTTTGTTGCATACCGGACTTCTCCGCCAAATCCAACGAGAGCTATAGCTAGATACTCTGACATCGCCACAGATTGCGTTGGAAGCTGTTTGCGGAAGGGTAGGTATATCCTGGCGGGTTCAATGCCCAGGTGTCTTAGGGCGAGTTTTCTGCCTTTCATGATGAGGTTACCAAGGCACTCGACTCCTGGAGAGAATGCACGTGACGGTTTTCCCAGGACTATCCATTGTATTGGTTGAGCTTTTTCAGGGGGCCCCTGGGCTAGTGCCCCTACTCCCCCTCCCTCTGTGAAATGTACATACAGATCGAGTGGTACATCTGGGTTCCACCTAGCGAGCGTGCTTGACGATACCTGTTGCTCGATAAAGTCAAGAGAGTTCATTGCTTCTGTCGTCAGAGTTTTTTGTTCCCATGGGTTCTTTCCTTTCAGAAGATCGTACAGGGGGGCCATGGTTTCGGGAGGGATCAGGACAATATTGCGGAGCCATTGCAAGGATCCCACTAACTGTTGCATATCATGGAGTGTTTTGATGTTCCGACGGATTTTTATTTGGGGGGGGTTACATAAGAACTTGTGATCCCCACTCCCAAAAAGCTTACACATGGTCCTCTTTTAACTTTCGCACTCGCGATCTCAAACCCGTTTGTTTTTAAAGTTTCCAAAACCGTTGACACCAGCTGGTCTACCTGACTTCCTGACGACGCGGTGATCAAGACATCATCCATGTATTGAATGATAGTCGCGGTCGGGTTACTGCGTCGAACCGGTGCCAACGCCCGATCCACCGTAATTTGGCAGATAGTAGGTGAGTTGATCATTCCTTGAGGCAGCACTTTCCACTGGAAGCATAGGTTGGGGCGTTGACTGTTTGGGAACACGACAGAAAAAGCAAACCGCTCCTTGTCCTCGTCATGCAGGGGTATGGAAAAGAAACAGTCCTTAATATCAAGGATAGCACAAGGTTGTCCTTCTGGTATCACAGAGTTCATAGGCAACAGCGTTTGGACAGGACCCATTGGTTGAATTCTCTTATTTACTTCACGCAGGTCATGGAGGAGGCGAAACCCCT